AAAGAAAAAAAAAAAAATTGGAAAAACACGGAGAAAGGTTAAAAAAAAAAACAAACTCCTCTCCTCTTTTTGCGCCCCCCCCCCCCCAAAAAAAAGAAAAAAAAGGGGTGGTGTTATTGTGTTGAGCTGCCAGAATATGGCGGCAAAGCTCTTAAAACACAGAGGCTCATAAAGCATCAACAACATGCTTCTAGCTTGCACAGTCATGATCCCATGTTACATATTTGCTGTATTTGGTTAATAAATTATTTCAAACATAAACCACATTCAAATGAGGCTCCTCAATAGTATTAGCATTGACATCATGCATGAGTAAACAAATATGCGGAGTAGTATTTTACACAAACAGTATGAAATCATTTCACTTACTTTATTGCCTTTACACACAACAGTAAATGTTGGGGAATACAGCAAAATTTGTTCCATTAATGTAGTCTACACGGGCTATTCGATGCAATGGGAGACAAGCAGAAATATAGGTACATAATCGCCCGGTGGTCCAGTGGTTAGCGCATTGACTTCACAGTGCAGAGGTCTTGGGTTTGATCCCGGCCCCTCCGGCCTTCCTGTGTGGATTTTGCATGTTCTGCGTGGGTTTTCTCCGGGTACTCCGGTTTCCTCCCACATTCCAAAAACATGCATGGCAGGTTGATTGAACACTCAAAATTGTACCTAGGTGTGAGCGTAGATGGTTGTTCGTCTCTGTGTGCCCTGCGATTGGCTGGCAACCCGTTCAGATTGTCCTCCGCCTACTGCCCGAAGACCATTGGGATAGCCCCCCCCCCCTCCCCCCGCCTTGTTAGGATAAAACAGTTCAGAAAACGGATGGATGGAATTTCACTCTAGACACACGGTGCATTCAGGGACCATCAAAAAAGCAAGACATCTCAAAGGTACACAAAAGCTCGACTATTAATGAATTAAACTACAAAAAAAAAGAAAACCCCTGCAAATTCATAAATGCTGAACCACAACAATGAGAAATGTGGTTGTTGTTCCAAAATTTAAAAAAAAAAAGTTTTTGTTTTTCTTAATATTTTAAAATAGACTGACAATTTTCCCCCTGTGTGTTACTAGAATGTGCTGATGCGGTGCAGCGGTATTACCACACCCGGTATCGTGTCAATATTCCCAGTGATGTAGAAATCCTGGAATTCTCCACCTTTGACAACTCCGATCTAGTAATCCTGTGGAATCGCACTCAGTCCAGTGGTGCATCCAGGGGCCAGGTGAAGCAAAATTACTGGGAAATGTCAGACATTACGCAAGCTGACAACGGCTACTACAACTTCCGCAAAAAAGACTACACTTTGGTGACAAGGAAAAAACTTACAGTCACAGGTGAGTGTTGGTCGGAAATTGTTTGTTATGGCAAGATGTTAACAGTCTTGTAGTGCTGGGATACATGTGTCAAGGTGATACAGTAGTTTACTTGGACTTCCTCTAACATTCTAAAAACGTGTAAAAGAATCAACCATTTATTTTCGATACCACTTCTCTAAATAATATACCGGTAATCAAACCTGGAGGCCAACTTGATCCCTCATTCTCAGTCAGTGCTGTTTATTAGAGCTACAGCTATGGAATATTTTTACAATCAGTTATTCTCACATTACTTTCCCATTGAATAATTGAGTAATAAGGCCAAACAAAAAAGATAGTGTGTTTCCGGTAACAAGAAATTTCAGCATAGGGTCGGTAGGTCGGACAAAGTTTTTTTTTTTTTTTTAATCTTCCCCCCCCCCATCAAAAATGTAAACAAAATAACCATAACAACAAAAAAAAGAAGACATTGAACTCACCGCCGCCTATTTAGTTTTCTCCCCTATCCGGACTCGGGGGCCGGGGCGCGCCGCCGCCTCCGCCGTCCTCCTCCGCCGTCCTCCTCCGCCGTCGGTTTTTACTCGGCCCGTGGTGTTCATCAAATAGTTCGCTTTATTTTTTCGATACATCAATGGATGCTATTTTCTTAACATTACGGTGCGAGCACGCGACTGTAACACAGAAAACGCGTTTTAAACTGTCGTCGGAGATCGCGGCCGCCGCCATGTTTCAATGTTGTTGACAGACGACAGGGCAAACGACGCACGCGCTCAACGTGAATATCGTGAGAGTTTGCACCGATGTAAACCCTCTACACAAAAATGTAGAGGGTTGTTTGAAAAAAATGTCGACCGTAAAATTTTTTCTCGACGTAGAAATTCTCGGTCGGTCGGGTTACCGGAAACACACTACTTTTTTTTCTACGCCTAATTGATGTTGCCATATTATTGTAAATATTAATACCCATACGCAATGTTCATGTTTTTCCTTTGCTCTGACTGTCTCGATAATAAGCCGCTCTCGCACAACTCTAATTGCCCCATGGGGATAAATAAAGTTTCTGAATCTGAATCTGAAAATGTGAAGTTCAGGGAATAATTTTGTCCATTTTGGGTTGCAATCCTCTCTTTCTACAATGTAGTATCTGTGATTTTGAATGTGCGCGGCTTTGCATGGTGGGGCCTGGCCAGGTTTGTAACGTGTGTGCCAGCGAAAGAGAGTGTAGTTGGCTGTTGTTAGCTCAGGTTAGCCAGTAGGCGGTTGTTGAGCGTCAATTGTGGCCGTGGCAGTTATTGTATGATTGTGCTTATTACGTTTTAGTTTCATTATTGCTAGTTCAATAAAGCTCTTGAATGTGCGCTGGCGGCTGTGTTTATCCTTAACCTTTTGTGAGGGATTTACAGTATGTTCTAGTGGTAGAAGGCTTTTTTTTGGTTGAATTTCCTACTATTGGTATTGGTATGGCTATTGATAGGCAATCTAGAGGAGGACAAAAGAAGTGTTGGAAAGACTGTACTAAGGCCTATCTGTGAATTTGTGGCTTCTCAGGAAACTGGTTTGACCTGATCCTGACAGCTGGTGGCACAGAACAAGAAGTGGAATGGTTCTTGTTCATGCCAGGCTACACGAAAGAGCGGCTGCAAACTGTGCTTACGATAGGAAATAGTTGTGCGGAATATGGGTCTCCAGTTGTCGCTAGTGACATGGATCATCATTCATTCAATCATTTTTGGTACATTACATTCTATTGGTGGGATTATACAGAGCTGCCAACTGTTCCAGATTGTCCGTATTTTGTTATGGAAATCTCTGAACACGACACTATTATGGCTGGAATGTGGTGGTTCAGATATTTAAAAAAAATAATTGGTCACATTGCCCAGAAAGTGTTGAAAATGCACAAAAATACTTGGTAGATTATTGCCATCTATGTTTGCCAACACGCTACTTCCGCCATCACTGCGGAAGCTAGCAGACAACTCCAAAGTTGGCTGAAAGGTAATGACTTGAGGCTCATCCCAGTCGCTGCTAGTTTTAATTAGAGGTGAGAGCGTCAGGTAATTTTCCTTCTTCTTCTTTGGGCACATCTCATTCTTTGAACTGCATTCCTTGGTCCTTGCTCCTCACTCCTTTGTTTACATACCAGCACCTCCCAACAGAAATTCTATTGAGGAGGGAGTAGATTGACAAAGGAGCGAGGCGGGAGGAGGTAGAAATGTTTTGGGTTAATGAGACGACCACTCCTCGATGTAGTTATTCGCTCTCTGTTAAAGATGACATCACATTATTGACACGCGTCAGAAATGCTACATGTCAGAATTAATACTATCACCACAAATGTCCACTTTATGCTTGATGTTTCAAGTTGGATTAAATTCATGTCAAATATCAATACTGTTATGCTTCACAACTTTGCAAAGACGAGCGCTATTGATCTGTCCCAAGCATGTCTTCCGCACCCCCCACCTACCTCAATACGAGCAGTGCATATTTGGAACGACTTGTACCTGTAAATATGTAAGAAATTCCGACGACAATTTTCTGGCCAAGCAACGATGCCAGACCTTTAAAAAGCCTGGCCTACTGATCCTGAACGTCTTGTTTTTAACAATCCCTTTTATCCCACACAGAGTACACAAGTAACTATCAGCCCAAGGAGGGCACACACTTCACCATGCGATTCCCTGTGAGCTTTAAACCGTGGGACATCACCTTCAAACCGAGGATGGGCGAGTCGGATCCTATAAGAGTGATGCGCTCTGGACGTTTGACCAACGATGACTATTTTGAAGACTCACATTTTGAGGACCGACTTGTCTTGGAGAGCCAGAACCTAGAAATACTTTCTGTAAAAGTAGAAGATTCTGGCATCTATGAGCTCCGGGACAACAACGGGTTCTTAGTGTTTGTGGCCAACGTGGCGGTAGAAGAAGGTGAGACGCAGCGCATTTTACCATTGAGAAATATATCTTGATACGGTAACTATGGCTTATAACTCACTCGTCATCTCTCTGCTTTCACAGTACATACCCCTGCGTATGTTTATGTCATCCTTTTTGCTGCCATTGTTGCTGCCTTTGCTATCTGCTGTTGCTGCATAAAAAGATGCTGTTGCAAAAAGAGTGCTTCCAAAACAAACGCTCCTCAAACAAGTCAAGCAGCAGCACCGGCACCTGCTGTTTATTACCATGTAGGTGACCCCTCAAACGGCCTCTCAGAATCACATTCGGAAGTATTAAAAACAATTGTTTTCATTCCTTCTTCAAATCGCAGGGCACAAATCAACCCACAGGACCAAGTTACTCAGCGGCACCACCCCCTGGAACTTACTCCTATCAGCCTGTGAATCCTGTTGTCCCAAGGGGACCTTCTTCTGCACCTGCACCCACCTCCGTCGGGCCACCTGTAATGTCTTTTTGCATTTCCAACCATCGATATTCTTCATTGTTACGGTTTCACAGACAAATCACAGTTTCGTTTTCACAATATGTGGCATCAATTTAACCTGACATCAAACTAGTTTAAGACACATTCAACGAACTACTGACAACATAAACACACTTAAACAATCATGAATGACAACCTTATGCCCGAAAAAGATTCAGCATTGCATGCCACAATGCATCCTGGGAATCGAAGAATGACAGAAAAGTACACAATCTTTTTTTTTTCCTTTACAAGAACCGATGACAGTTCGTTGAAAGTGCATGAAGTTTATCAAGTTACCCTACAGGAGCCTTTTTTTGGACATTGTGCTTTGCAGAAGCATACTGACATGGGACAAATGATTGGATTACTTACGTAGACACTCCCAGTATCAGTTGTCTTATTTACATACATTACTTGACAAACCAGGACATCTGCAGCATCTCTTTAGATCAGGGGTCCCACACGCCTGTCCTCAGGGACCGCTGCCCTGCATGTTTTCCCTCTCTCCCTGCTGCAACCCACCCAATTCAAATGATCAGATCAATAGCAATCTGTGCTGGAGCCTGATACGGATCTTGATCACTTTAATCCTGTGCGTTGCAGCGGGGAGAGATGGAAAACAGGAAGGAAAGCGGCCCTCGAGGACCTGAGTTTGAGACCCATGCTTTAGATAATTGTAGCTGGCAAGTGTATGATATCTTTTTTCCAGCAGTGACTGAACATGCTGTTTCACTGTCAGGCTTACAACAGTGTGGATATCCATCCGGATCCGAACCCGACACAGCATGAGGTACGCACCCACACAACATGCAGTAATTTGTTGTGCACAGTACTTCATTTCAATTTCATGTCATGATATGTTCTGTGAGTATACAGTTGGATATGATGTCATTTCCAGACAACCCCCCACCCCCCCCAAAAAAAACCCCAAACAGAAAGGTTTTTTTTGCTTATGTTGACAGTTTAGCCTTAGCAGAGTGTTGATTAAACAACACATCTAATGGTGGCCCAAGATCTATTCCTTAGTTCTACTTAGTGCATTTGCTGTTTTTCAACCTCCTCAGGCCGTTGTTTCCACTGGGCACAACGTGGCACCAGCTCCATCCCTGGCATTTGATTGTTCCTCCTCGGACTCCGACCCAAAGTTCGAGCTCAAAGGGCTGCGCTTTTCCTCCAACCTTCCACTCACCTCTGACTCCACTTTTTCCAGTGTTTACACCTCCGATAAACTCAACTTCTAAGGCGGTGCACAACCCCTGGGACCAGCTACACTACAGGTGCAAATCACAAGGCGCATGTTGGCTATGAGACAAAGAAAAGCTCCTGTGTGCGTTGTGGAGGGGTGCCGGGGGGGGGGGGTCTATCTTTCAATAGGGAAACGTGCAGTGTCTTCAGTATTGATTTATTTTGTGATGCTTTTGTTGGCACGTAGTTTGTTGAATGGAAACTTACAGAGTTCATCATATACAGTGGTGTTGAACTGAAAAAAATAATTGTGGCGTAGCATGAGTGGCCAAAAGTAGAAAAATAGGCAAGTGCATTTGACTCCATTCGATTAATCGACCGTGGGTAACATGATCGATTATTGCTATTTTCATTGGATCTGGGTAAAATAACGCTGCCTTAATTAAGTACAGTATTTGTCTAGCGCGGATGTAGCTCAACATAGTCCGTCAAATTTCGTTATGGAGAGACAGCTAAATTTCTCGAAAGCTTGACGATACGATTAACCACCAATTGCACAAAATTGATACAATTCTTAACAATCAATTATAATATGCGTCTTCATGAAATGTTTTAGGGTGCCTGAAAATCTAGCAATTGCTTGCGTTTTGAATGCCCTTGAATTCAGTCATAACTGCCAATGAAAAATTGTCGTATGACATCTCTGATCTCCTTTTTCATCTCTCACCACTTCAAACAATAAGCCATATGCAGGAATTGTTGTTACGATTGTATTGTCAATGTTTTATGTTAAGTGTTCCGTTGTATTATTGTTTTATGCTAAATGTTCTCTAAAGAGCTTTGTTGCAGCTGCAGCTGTTGTTATATAAGTAAAGATGTAGTGCATTGTATATGCCAACCACGCATACTAGGCCAGGGAAAATTAGGTGCTAGACATGCGCAACATTACTCTAAAGCATGATATTGTCACTTAGACATTCTGTTTACAATTAACTGACTGCTCTGTATTCAGTGTAAAAGTGAAAGGGATAGATAATCAGCCCGTTAGCGCAATCACCATTGAACACATGCAAATAATCCAGATTTATATAGCATTGCCTCTCTCTGCCACTAGGGGGCTTCCAGTTCATTCATCCTTCCTGTTCATCGACAAAAATATGCATGTTTTCCGAATGTGAAAAAAAAAAAAAAACAAACAAACCAAGCAAGCACGGGAGGTGGGAACATTCGAATTAACCACTGGAAAGTCAGAGCTGAGATTCGAACCCAAAACTTCTCAGTTGTGAGGCAGGTGTCCCTCCCACGAGAATCACCGTGCTCCCGCTTTGTGTTCATACGGTAAAAGTGTCGATTGCATTCGCTATGTGATACCGCATCATCGCTTGTTGCTCGAATGTATAATGTTCATGTTCAAGCTAATTTTTCTGATGTCTCAGGTCACATTTGCTGAGCTCATTTTAGAAAGTGGGGCTCATATTGACCTCAGCACTCGGGGAACACGCTGCACTCAGCAGTACAAAACATTTCTAATATATCTATCTATATCTATATATCTATAATAATCTGGTTTCTGTGTGCCTTTGGCATAAATTAGTACTATATCATAACTGCAATCTTGATTTTCCCTTTGGGAAAAAACCTATGCTGTTACTGATACTTTTCACATGTATAACTTTGGAAACTTTTTTTTTTAACTAATTTTGTCATTGTGGAACAAATGCAAAATGTGTATTTTAAGATAGTATGAACGTTGCAATGTTTTGAATTCAAAAGCAAAATCCACAGACGCATAGGACCCATGTCGATTAACCAAATCAACAATACTTGTGCCTGATTTTACAACAAACTATTTTATATTGATTCTGTCTCATTCATAATCACTTTATGAGCCATAGAGCCTTTTAAAAGCCATCTTGAGTTGGTAAGCGTAAAACGCTGATTTAAGGCCTTGTGTGAAAAGGAAACACATGACCCTAAGTTTAGGGTGAACATACTACCTCATGTTTGGAAACAGTTTTTAATTTTTTAAAAAAGTTTTTTTTTTCTTTTCCCTTTTTTAAATCAGAACCGAAACTCAAACCAAGCTGCCTCATGACTAAGAAATGTCGCAGACACACCCATTCATGTTGCATGTGCAGCCTTTTGCGTCGTTAAATTCTGCTTTTTGCTCTTATACCGTTTGATGCAATTGTCTGTTAACGCACTTAAGATTGATGTCTAGCTTGTGCCCTGTTGTTATTTGCTTGGAATTGTTTGATAAAAACATGTTCCACGGCAAAACGTGTACAGTGTATCTAACAAGATGTGCATTAAAGCTACTAACTCGTGTATGGTTGGTTTCTCTGACATTGGCGGGGACTGTTTGCTGGCATTCTTGCTTCTGAATACTCGTTAGGAAAAAAAAAAGACTACGACTTCATGAAACTCATGTGAGGATTTAGGTTGTAAATGCAGATGAGTTTTTCTGATAGTGTTCAAGCCAGCAGAGGAGGCCTTCCTGGTTCTGACTTCTAATAAATATGAGACCTCTGGATTCTTCACTTGACCGTCCTTGACAAACGGAGGAGGGATTTAGCACAGGCCGAGAGAGGAAGTGTGACTGAAGATTGTTGCGGTGAGCTCGGAGGATCACATACACTTTCAGCTGACAGTAACAAGAAACCAAGCAGCTGCAGAAAGGTGTCAACGGGTCCCCGAATTCGACGACGTTGGAGGACACCAAGTTGGTCCGGGTCCTGCAGCCACTGACCGGAGATAACTTTTACTGAAACATTTGCACTGCGGAATACAAAAGGGGAATGGATGACACCCCGATGTCACCAAGTGGTGTAATTTCATTGTCCTGTTTAGTCACTGTGGTCTATTTTCAGGCCCAAACATAAATTGGGCTGAACAATCAAATTCAAATTGACATAGCAATGCAGTAGAAAACAATTTTCTAATTGAAAGGGCTGCACTTCAGAAGAATAAAAAGAACCTCGATTCATTTCAGTTGTTTGATAGGCTTGTTTTTTTAATACTTATGAATATTTAGAGCGGGCTAAATAAGTTGATAGTGTCTGGATAAGTTCACTGCTTAAGTGCGGCCCACAATATGATCGTTTAATTCACGAAATGTGAAAAAGTGATTATTGCTGTGATGATTTATGACTTCTTTATTTCATGGTTCATTTGTCTTTATTTTTGCATAAGCCTAACCTCTAAGACCAAAACCTTTATTTACCTGTAGAATAAATATGAAATTGTTTACTGTACTCGAGATTACCGGTAATTGATTGCTTGATTGTTAAAAAAACCACACAGACACACATGGGAAGGTATCTTAAGAATAATTGCTTATTAAATCACAATCTTGAGGGGAAAAACATAAATCCCAATTATAGAACATTACTTTTAAGTTGCAAATGATACAGCCCGAAACACAAAACTGAAACGAGATAGTCCCTTACCCTCAAACTCTTTGTGAGTAGTGTACTTGACAACCGAGATACTAATTCCTGATTAAAAATCCACTTTATTGCCCATCATAATTTTCTCACACGTACAGACAAAAACTGATAGTGGCTCTTCACTGGCACCTTTGTCCAATGTTTCCTCGCTAGTTGCCTTTCCTCTTTTCAACCGCCTTCACTCGGCCCTCCAGGCTCTTCAGGCGATGCTCGAGCACACCGGTCTTGTTGGAGCCGGACGTGAGCAGGCTCAATAAGATGTATCCCAGCACCAGGCCGCCCAGGCGCACGGCCGTGGTGTCGGCGCTGGCGTTGCTGTCGCTGACGATCATGGCGAAGAGCCACAGCACCACCGCCATTTTCACCAACCAGAAGACGTGTCGTAGCGCGTCGATTGCAAAGCGCAGGAGGATGGTCATGACCCAGTAGGCGATGACAGCCAGGACCCCCCACTGGGCCACTGTGGTCACGCCCTCTGGGGTGAAGCGGGGTAACGTGAGGGCTGTTGCGGAGAAAACGGACACTGTCATTATGGAAAATTTGAACATTTACAGTTGCTCGTCCCAAAATGTGAATATCATGGAAAAGTTGATTCATTTCAGTAATCCTATTCAAAAAGTGAAACTTGTGTCATGCAGATATTCATTTCATCCAGACTCATACATTTCAAGTGTTAAATCATTTTAATTTAAATGATTATATCTGAAAACTAATAAAAACTACAAAGTCACCATCTCAGAAAATTAGAATATTGTGAAAATTGAATGCGAGACATGGTTTTCAGCTGTCGCATTCCTTGTCCAAGAACAAACAGCCTCAGAAGCGCCTTGCCAGCGACAAAAAATGCCCGCACTGCTGTTGAGTGGTCAAAAGGCATGTACTCTGATGAAAGCAAATTTTGCATCTCCTTTGGAAACCGCGGTCCCGGAGTCTGGAGGAAGCGAGGGGAGTCACAGAATCCACATTGCTTGAGGTCCAGGGTCACATTTCCACTGTCAGTCATAGTTGGGTGTGCCATGTCACCTGCTGGCGTTGGTCCTTTGCGTTTCCCGAAGTCCGAGGTCAACCCAACCCTCCAGCAGGAAATTTTAGAGCACTTCATGCTTCCTGCATGCATTTCATTTCGCAACAGGCGCCTCCATACAGTGCCAAAGCTAATCAGTACGGACCACGGTCTTTCTGTTCTTCAATGGCCAGCAAACTCGGCTGACCTGAACCCCATGGAAAACCCCTGGACTATTGTGAAGAGGAAGATGCGATATGCCAGACCCGGCAATGCAGAAGAGCTGAAGGCCGCTATCAGAGCAACCTGGGCTCGAGTAACACCTGAGCCGTGCCACACACTGATCGACTCCATGCCATGTTGTATTGCCGCAGTAATTCAGGCAAAAGGAGCTCCAACTAAGTACTCAGTGCTGTACATGTACATACTTTTCATATTTATAATTTTCGGTTGGACAACATTTCGCAAATCCCTTTCTCTGTATAGTCTGAAGTATTTTTCAAATTTTCTGTGATCGCGAATTTGGGTGTTTTTCAAACTAGTTTTCAGATATAATCATCTAAATTTAAATGAATTAACACTTGAAATGTATCAGGCTGTGTGGAATGAATGTAATCATGACACAAGTTTAACTTTTTGAACAGTATGACTGAAATAAATCAACTTTTTCATAATATTCTAATTTTTTGATGAGCGCGTGTACACGGGACTGAAATATAGGGGCAAAAAACACAATTCAATGACGATATATTTCACATGAAAATGAAATAAAAACATTTGCTAAATCAATGTTTAAAACCAAACCGTTTTTAAAGATGCAAATACAGTAAAATTGAACAGTATGGAGGCTGCTTCCTCAACTCTGTTTCAACTGTATTAGCATTGTGGTTCTCAAACCTCTCACATTAAGTACCACCTAAACAAACACTTACTGTAGCTCTCCAAGCACGACATAAAAAAAAAAAAACTGGCCATAGGTGTTTGTTTGAGATGTTCGCTCGGACAGTTGAACAAAGGCTCGAACGCAGGAACAGATCGACTTTTCACTGCCGCTTCTCAACAGACACCTGACCTCTGCAGCGTCTGCCGCCTTTTTTTTGATCGTGTATCCAAATTACAAGTGATATGTCAGAAAAACACTCCCTTCTTCATTCACATGTCACGCCTCTCAGCCCACGGCCCTCAGTGGGCACCTGGAGGCCAAAACATCTCTCGGTACAAACAATGGATACCTTGTTAATTCAATGGGTAGATTTCGCATTAAGTGAGACACTGTAACAAACCCAAGGACATCTTGTCGTGCTGCCTACCCGAAGTTGAACCTTCCTGTCTGTACTATCAGTTGACAAGGCTACATCAGCTACATTCAGCTCAAGCATACAACAAAATGAAACTTTAAACATGATAACTTTGACTTTGTCTATACTCTATCAGTGTTCAATTTAAAAAAAAAACAAAAGGGGGGGGGGTTTATTTTTCGGGGTGAAATGAGTCCTTAGTCGAGATGAGTCATGCTAGCAACAGCAACAATTGTTAATGCTATGCATGACGGTAACATGCTTCCGAACTGGAAGTTGGATCACAGTATCACACCTTCTTCCTTCACAGATGGTCGATGCAACAAAGTAACAAATTACATATATAGAATAATGACTGTGTTGATAATTGAAGGTATGTAGATTTTTTAAATGTATTCCTTTTACAAATTATACTGCGGTAACGGGGTCCCGCAAAAATGTTCATGACAAGGGCTTAAAAATATGGAAATTCAAGCAAATTGTTCTTCAAGTGAATTTTGATCATTTGGCAGCTCTGTGCAAAATTGATAATGGACATAACCCCCAAAAGACTCGCAGCTGTAATTGTTGCAAAAAAAAAAAAAAATCTCATTTTCCCATTTGGTGCCCCAAAAAGGTCTTGCCACTTACCGTCAAATCCTATGACCCGGAGGATCTCTGTGACGTACGCGGCGATGACATTGAGGCCGTTGGCAACTCCTTCGGCCAGGAAGCGGAACACCATTCCCAGAAACTGTTTTGGTTGAGAGAGGACTTGTTTTAGCTTGAGAGCGTGACACTCAAATAAACGCAACACAGCCTGATCACTATATTATAAAACATCCATTATCCAGGAGGCCTGTTGTGTTCAGAGTCTGGCTCAATTTAGCCTCAGTGCACACGAAGACACACGTGGTGGACACTTAATTACCAGTAAGAACATTTTCACAAATGAAATTCAATACAACACAAACAATCACACACAAACGACGTATCAACACATGCAGTCAGGTAACAGAAAAATGCTCGAAGGCTAACACGTGATAAAACGAGTTCTATAAATGGATCTCACTCGCCATTTTCTTCCACTCTTAAGTGTGTAGCCCATGCAGGCACGGCACCACAGTGCCCCTAAGAGGCCAACATGCGCACAGCAGGAACAGCTGGTATTTATTTTTCAACATTGCAACTATTTTTGAAATATTTTTATTTTAGTTTGTCATGAACTTTATTGTCTGGCTGTTCTTTCAAGTTGAATTTAAAGTTGAACTTAAGGATTCATGGAATATTTATTGTTGTGCTAACACACATTTCCACAAGATATGGCATGAAATACGACATTCGAGGTCCCAATTTAGCCCAGTGAGTCCCAAGATTTGTAGAATTAAAAAGAGGGAAAAAATGTCAGAGGAAATAAATATGATAAAGAGATAAGTGAGATGCTTATTCATGGTTGGAATGTGTGCAAAAATGCAACACAGCAAAGGTGTGAATGCAGCAGAATGACAATGCAAGAGGCTTGAATTTCACATGATGTTTACAAGGTCATTTGGAATTGGTAAAAAAAAAAAAAAAAGACTGTTCAAGAATAACATGTTCGAAGTACGGGGATGAAAAGGGCATGATGATCGTTTTCAGTAGTTGAACGAATACTGTACAAAGTTTTGAAATCAATGAGCAATCGTTTTTATTAATCGGGACTTCAATATCAATCAAAGTAATCATGATTATTTTGTTTTTCTATAATTGCCCAGCCGTACTTACTGGTGTGGACAACGTTGGATGTCAAGGTTGGCAAATAAATGCCCATACGGCTTTCCGTACTTCTCTTTTATACACATGCAAGTCTTTACCAAACATGGACTGTGATCTATCCGATGACCATTGTTTTCTCTTATCTCAGAGAGATGGCCTGGTCTGACTGTTAGCTTGATCAAACAGGAACTTTCCACCCAAACACAAACATCCAGTCTACTCAGTTCGTAGGTAGTAAGCAAGTCATATGGGGGAGACAGAGGGGAAAAACGGAATCATTTGAGATACAGCTCTTGTATTAGATCTCATTAGATCGTGCACGTGTCCCTAATATTGTGGCCAGATAGAACCGCTGAGCAGTATTTTATCATCGCAGAAATGTGTTGTTGTATTTAGCCAATAGCTGTGTGAGTGACAGCAGCTGCCCCACTCTATTTCTGTACCCTCCAAACACTGACAGTGTCACACTGACAAATACAGGTGACATTCATCAAGGTCACGGCTGGCACTGCAACTTGCCGATCTGCACCTGCCGCACAACATATCGGCTCAATAAGTGGCGACTGCTGAGCATGTCAGAGCATGGCTCAGGCATCTGGAACCTTATGGCACCAGGCGGGATGCACGTGTCCCTTAAATCTTCTGATATTGTTTGCCTTGAAAAAGAATGCATTTTAAAATCAATCTCGAATGATGAAGAGAATGTCCAGGTATTTTCAAAGTGCAGTGGTAAACTTTCCAGGAGAACCAATGTGCATTTTTAGTTTTCACATTGGAGCTTGAATCACGAGTTTAATTCGCTCCTTCACCACACGTGTAACCCAAAACACAGACTATATCTCAAATCACCTTTCGCCCCTGAAATGAATGGAAAGGACACCAATCTATTCCAGCCTCGCAAGAAAAAAACTCCAAACCAAAGTTTGTGATGGGTCCCGACTGATTAAATGGCCGGCCAATACTATCTCTTTTATTAATTAATTAAATTTATTTTACTTTAAACACATTAACATATTAAAACAAAGATAACCATATTCACTCCCCCACCTCAACCCCCCAAAAAAGTCACATTTTTTGGACCAAAGTATTTGAAAAACAGTCGAATATTCAGCCTGTGATTCATATTTTTATTGTTGTGTTAACTGACCCCATAAAGTAATTTTATTTATGATAGATTTTAAAATCAATTGGCTAATTAATCGGCTCTATTGGAATTTTATTCTACCAAATATTGGCACCCCCCCCCAAAATATATAAATAAATAAATATATATATATATATATATATATATATATATATATATATATATTAATCCATATTGGTTGTAATGTATGTGGAAACCGAGCATTATATATTACTGCACTATTTTATATATACATACATACATACATACATACATACATACATACATACACACACACAACACATCTATTTTCTGATCCGCTTTATCCTCACAAGTGTCGCGGGGGGTGCTGGAGCCTATCCCAGCTGTCTTCGGGCAGTAGGCGGGGGACACCCTGAACCGGTTGTCAGCCAATCGCAGGGTATACAGAGATGAACAACCATCCGCAATCACACTCACACCTAGGGACAATTTAGAGTGTTCAATCAGCCTGCCATGCATGGTTTTGGTATGTGGGAGGAAACCGGAGTACCCAGAGAAAACTCACGCAGGCCCGGGGAGAACATGCAAACTCCACACAGGAAGGCTGGAGCACGTCGACCTCATAGTGCAGAGGTACTGGGTTCAATTCCAGCTCCGGCCTTCCAGTGTGGAGTTTGCATGTTCTCCCCGTGCCTGCTTGAGTTTTCTCTGGGTACTCCGGTTTCCTCCCACATACCAAAACCATGCATGGCAGGCTGATTGAACACTCAAAACATTGTCCCTTGGTGTGAATGCGAGCGCGGATGGTTGTTCGTCTCTGTGTGCCCTGCGATTGGCTGACGACCGGTTCAGGGTGTCCCCCTTATTAGCATAAGTTCGCATCATAAGTTGCCATGAAAAGTGATTGGAAATGACTGCAACGTTGCAACCCTATAGTACCACACTTGCGGTGCTGTGATTATTTGCAGCAAATTATGATGTCAAAATTTGAAAGAGGATTAGGATCACATGTGGAAAAAGGCGTGACTGACATCAGCAGTCTGAGAAATGAGTCAGCTCGGTCTGCACCACAGATAACGGAAGCTAGTAGATGAACAAAATCATGAAATGTAGTTTGAAGTACTAATAAGAGGGAATGAGCGAGAGAGAGAGAGAGAGAGAGAGAGAGAGAGAGAGAGAGAGAGACGCAATCGATACATGTCGGGGAAGCACAAAGCAGTATAAAAATCAGCATCGGAAGAACTAAAACCAAACGATCCCTTTTCAAGGCAACCAATTGCTCATGAAGAAGAACAATATTTTCCTCAGTGACTTGACACAAAGCCCTAACTGTACACATAATCTCATAGAACCTGATAGATTACTGTTCTATTCCGGTTTCAGATCCAACTATTTCTGTGTCCCACTGCATTAACAGATGCGAGGCGCAGCAAATGACACGCAAGGTGTTACAGCTCGATGCGTAAGCTATGTTGTAGTAGCTACTACGCACCAGTGGAGAAGGTACAGTAAGCCAGTAGCACATCCGATAAGAACTAATACAAAGGCTGTGTCAACAAAAGACGATCGTGCTCAGACTTCCTCATTCACATGACACTGTGAGCTTTTTCTCTTGCATGAGAATCACTCAGAAGTAAGTAGTGTGCTACACCACCATAACTGTAATGGATATGACAGTTGCACCCAAAATGTTTTAATCATAGGTTTGAATTTACCATCACTATATTCAAAAACAGGACATTATTTCAAATTGTCAGTGCAGAAAACACAAACATGAATTTATTAAAATTCGGTTCCTGGTTTGGTCAGTAACATGTCAGGAAATAGACTAAAATGTTAATCATTGCGTTCCAGAGAAAAAGCTGATGTTTGCAAATGGCTCATTTTGACTCAACACAAGGAAGTCTGCTTTCATGGAGAACTCAATAAAAAAAAATCTGAGAATATTTACCAATGACAGGCTGAAATTCAGAGAATTTGGGTGATTTAAAACTACAAGATCTCTAAACAATTAATTATCAAAATAATTATTACCGGCAATTAATTTGATAACGCGTTGTCCATTAATCATTGCGCCTCTAATTTATTTGATTGAAAAATGGTAAAATCATTGTAAATACATTATGAATTTGAATTATTAATTTCTTTAAAACAATGACTGAATTAGACAAATAAGATTTATATTTACAGAAATATTTTAACCTCTTTTATGAATAACTTGACCCATCGAACTGCTTTCAAAATCAAATGTGCCCCTGGTGCAGAAAAGTTGCCCATCCTTGTCCCAGAACACAAACATAATTAAGCACCCTTGAGTCACTCAAAAGGCGCTACATAAATGCAAGTTAATATTCATTATGAAACCTTTTGGGCTGAACAGAGCATGTCATGCTGTGCCCTCCCCCCCAAAACAAAACCAACGGAAAAAGAATTCACGGGGAAACATCCCAGGAGGGTTCTTACCATGGCCACTGAATAGACGTTCTCCTGACCAAGCAGTGACTCGAGAAACAAGAGTGCACTCTTTGAGCGATGGAGTGAGTGGGTGAAGAAGAGGAGGACATGATGAAGAAGAGTTGAGGTGGTGAGATTAACAAGCAAACAGGGAGAGTGAGAGGACATGTGGTTTCATGGGAAACATGACAGGGTGAAATACATGCAATTAGTGATCAGTAAAGCTTTGATTCAGCAAGTGGTACAACAGAGCCGGCCCGAGGACTTTTTATTTTTTTTTTGGTGTATTTTTTTTTCTGTTTGATTTAAAAGCGAAGACAATTTGCAATTTAGGTACTAAGTGTCGCAAGAAATGAAGTAGACGCACATGATTTGCTATCTCAGCCCACATAAAATGATGTGGCTGGCCAGATCTGCCTACTTTTTTAAACGCGGTAGTTTTTAAACGTTTGTTTCCCCCTCTAAAAATGTTCAGTGGTGCCTTGACTTCTGAGTTTCATTTGTTCCATGACCACGCTGGTAACTCAAAACACATTTATCTCAATTCACGTTCATACATGAAATAAATAGATATGCAATTTTTCCAACCCACGACATTTCGTGTGTGTGGCTTGGGGGCTTTACAATACATTGAGTTATGACATACAGTAGTGCCATAATTGAATAGAATTTAAAGATTAAACAGCTTTAAAACATTTTTGCGACATTTAAATGGATATTGTAATGCTCCTTCAGGCGTGTGTACCTTGGCCACCTGGGGGCAGCATAACCCAGGCGTACAGAGATAAATGGAGCCAGTCAAAACTTCTCAGTAAGCTGCAGTAATATTAGTCATTTTTTAGAATTGATAAAGAATCTATGCACGTGAGTATTATCATGTATGTCTACATATGCTGCTACAGTTGGCGTTCTAATATCCATTGTGAAAGGATTGTAACACTGCTACATGCCATTCAGTCACCGGTCTATGGCGTTTTGTGTTGTGGTGGACAAGAGTCACTCTCCAAACTATGAAGTTCACTGTCATCATACAGGGCTGGTATGTCAATGTTTTGCTCCCAAGTCAAAGCAAAGACTCTTTCAAGGTGTTACTGTATTAAGTGCATATGTTGTCATTTTCCGATATTTGAGCAAAGTTTTAATGTTCAAATTGTGCATAAAGGTACATTGCCCTATATTGATGTTCATTATATTTTGGGAATAAAACCTCCGCCGAGTTTTCAACAGACTATTAGGTCTAGTAAGTTGACAAACCGATTTTTTTATTTTTTGGGGGAAGGGCCGGCTCTGTGGCACTTGAGCGATGTTAGAGAATAAAGAGTTAATTAAAAACTTAAGAGTAGTAACACACACTCACTTCATATTCATCTGCTTTTACTCATTTTACCTCTGTAGCTGATCGGATGGCATCCATTCCCACGAGTGACTCCACGTATCGATGGAGCTCCTGGCCGGTTCCGCGGAGCACGCCGCGTAGTGTGACCGTCGGCTGGCTTTCCTTCCCCACCGTCGACTTCTGTTCGGCATGCTCGGCTCCAGCATGGAGCACCGCTAAAGCCAAAATCAGCAGCGCACAAGACGGCCGCAAGAAATGCAGCGTGGCTCGCGCACAAAGAGTCATCGTTGGGAGGATTGGAAAGCAGTAAAATTAACAGTAAGGATATAAAATTAAACTGTGCGGAACCGGCTGAGCAGGACGTGTGACTCTCAAGTCAAAATGGAACGAGGCATACGAAGTTGAAAATAGTTTAAAGCAATAAAATATCCACTCAGTTCTAGGCCTTAGCCTGTTAACGAGTCGAATACGACCGAGTATTTAATTATAAACTTTGGCAACGTTGCAAATATCAATCGTGCTCCCAACCTCTAAGTGTCTGGTTATATTTGGCATCAAACAGTTGAAATATTTTCTAATGTATTTTAATGATAAGAATAAATTTTTAAAAGCTTCGGTTGCAGTAATGTTCCAAAAGTCGTGGAGAACACGATGGAGGGAAAAACCCTGTGGCTTTGACCTGAGTAGAAGTCTTCTAAATCTTCTTATTTGAGGTCGGAACGTAACACACAATCACGACTGGCGGCCTTTCTTTTCCACGCTCAAAGTACTTTAGATTGCTAAATATGAAGCAAAATGGTCGTTGTTGCTGCTCAAGCAGAGTTTTCCAATCCTCCCCTCGTTTGACGACTGCAACCACACAGGACGAAGACGACGCGTGGCTCCTTGAAAAGAAGCAAAGGGATTGACGCAGTGGTGCATCTTGGGACTTGTAGTCAGTGTTGTCAACTCATTTTCCGGAGATGCGTGATGATGTCATTGCGTAATTAAGTAAACCTGATGTAATTAGGCAGCGGTTACGTTTTTTCTTTATAAACGCAACACATTATTTAATTCATTAATATTGCTAGCGAATGCGGAAAGCTCTTTGTAAATACAGTAGTTGCAGTATTAGGGTGACCAAATGTCCCCTTTTGCCGGACATATCCACTTTTTTAATCCCTGTCCGGGAGAATTTGTTAAATTCATGAAAACGTCTGTCTTTAATTGGTTCTCATGGGTCCACATATCATGTGTTTAATTTGACTGACGTTTTTTCCAAAAAATGTATTTATTTCTTAATGAGAGGCGCAGTACGCTGTTATCGGCATATGTGACGTTCCCACTGGCGGGGCGGGAGAACCCAAAAGAGAGGGTAAGTGGCGGCAGTTGACATCCGGTTCATTCGTCTATGGTTCCCGCTGTGGGTGAAGTCACCGGTCCGAGAGCTGCTTTTTGTTTACCAGTTGAAAAGGCCAAATGTATAACGGTTCGGAGTTGAGGACAGTGACAATACACGATAAATATAAAAGTGTGCAAAGCTTGCAGGTAAATATCTAATAAAGGTTCTGCTCCGAGAGCTCAAAGCTCCTGTCGACACAGAAAACACCCAAAAAGCTGTATGAGGAGAGTGCTCCATAATTAATTCTTAGATCTGGGAACACAGAAATGGAGAAGAAAACAATTATGAGGAATAAAACTAAAGACTTAAGTTTTTTTTTTTTTTTTTGCTAAATTGTGGGACTAGTTTTATTATTTAAGCACCTCGGATAATGGATGGATGTTTTATTTTCTACCCATACATAGCAGGCGCTATATGTTGAAAAAAAATTGTCATTGTAATAATGGCACCTGCAGTGCAGAATGCAAAAGATGTTTAATTCGTATGGAATTGTGGGTTTCAATCCAACTTTGACCAATCAGATGCAACTTTAAATGCGCATCATCATCCAAAAAGAGAACAGTATCTCGGGGCATTACTAACACAAAGGAATTTATTTAGAATAGAATACATTCAATTTAGGAGAGGGGGGAACGGAAATTTTCAGAATCCGTATGATTTGTGCGATATGGCCATATACATAAGATTCACCACAAAATCCGTATAAAATATGGCTAAACCGTATGAGTTGACATGTATGATCGTTGATATTGTAAAATCCAACACCCATATCTCATACTTTCCCAATATAATGCAGTCTTACTTTAAAATCAGAGTTATAAGAGATATTTTAGTATCATTTCAGTATCTTACGGCTGAGCCGGGTGTCCTCTTTTTTGGAAATAAAAATATATTCATCCTACAGTAAATCAGACTCAAAGTTGCTCTTCACTTGCTTCACAGTCCTTGGAAAGCATTTCACAGGGAGAAAGACTCAACTTTCAGTTTAATAATCAGTGACAACACCTGGTCACTTGCGAAAATGTCAGTAGAGTTTCAGCAGTTTTCATTAAAAAAAGAAACAGCAACAATTTTTACGCACAAACATTACACACCATTAACTTCAATCTGAGGAACCATGGGAATGTTGTTAGTCCACGTGTGCGCGCGCGCGCGTGTGTGTGTGTGTGTACATACGCGCGTGTGCGTAAGATACACATACAAAGTAAAAACCTTAAAGCCTTGAGTCCAGCTTGTGGCTGCACACATATTCTGGAGCAACTTCTCCATGAGAGCCTAACCACAAAAGAGAAGAGAAGGCGCTGTGGCCAGCCTCGCTCTGGGCACCATCTGCACTATACTGCTCGTCCTTGTCCTGCTTCCCATTAAGAACGGACTCGCAGGCCTAGCCGATGTAAATGCGATGGAAGTCGTTGGCTCCAAATGCAGCGTTGCACTTGGGGCATTTCCTCTGGCGTGTGTCGTAGCGTGTCTTGACGCACTCGAAGCAGAAGACGTGGAAGCACTTTGTCAGGACGGCATCCTTTACCCGGGAGTTGCAACAGGGACACGTGAGACGAGCCTGGGGGAAGCGGGAGGGATGTCGTGAGACGGGGAGAGAAGGGGGATGTTTTGTCCTCAGATGAATGGAGAATGGACTTAATGAGTGGACAGCAATATCTAGGACAGCAAGCGATATGACTAACTCTGTGTAGTAAGTCAGAACAGTAGGCTAAACTTGAAAAGATACTGCCAAAAAATGTGCTAAACCACTTATTGGATAAATGTTTTCATGACACCAGCTTACCTTATACTCACTAATTTCTTCATTTAGGATTTCATCTCCATTGCTAATTTTCTCAGCTGGTTTCTTTGCCTTCTCGATTTTTCTCCTCAGTTTCGAGATGTCCTCCTGAAACAGCAAACATCATGTAAAGAAAAGCATTAAAGGTCAAGTGTGAAGTCATTTTCGGAAATCCCCAATGAAATATTTTTATGCCACAAGTAAATGAAACACATTAAAATAAAGCATGAAAAAAAATTATTTCAGAAATTCGACAAAGTAATCGTTTCCCAAAGTGAGATCCTGACGAGCGTGTGATGTCACTTTAGGGATAACAACAGCGGGGTTCAGTATGGAAAATGTACCAAGCCAGTCAGAAATCGTTTCGGCTGAGGGGATCCAGGTGTCTGAAGAGTTGGAAGAAGAGGAGGTTTGTTGGCAAAATGTATGTTGGACCAAACATGTGAGAGCCAGATGCACCGGATGTGGAAAATGCACCAGAGTGGCCTGACATGGAGTGGAGAAGAGACCCATCGGGATTGGAAGAACGGTAAACTATATAGGCTGCGATTATTAGCCTACAGTTATTGTTTGCAATTCGATACGGTGCCATGCTGTAAATTGTGCGTGACGAGATTACTGACTTGGGCCATGTATTCCCATTAAGAGTGAGAGCATATGTCATATACTGTAGTGGGGTGGTGTACTACATTGTCATTGCTAAGGTAGTTCTGTTGCACTGTTGGCCCTCCACACATTACATCAGATAAGAAAAGATAAGAAAACCTTTATTTGTCCCACAATGGAGAAATTCCCAATTTACAGCAGCAAAATTATGAAAGGGAGAAGTAGAAGAACAAAAAGTATATAAGTAAATAGAAATTATAAAATATAAATATAAGCATATTCAAAATGGGTGAGTTGGGGTGAGTCCAGGTTTTCAGGTAAAAAGATAAAAGAAAATAATGGAGATGAGCAGAAATGAAGATGCCCATCCCCCCGTAGCTTTGGGGTACAAAAAAGTCACAAAACAAAGTAGGAAGATAAATATAACAAAAGGACGAAAAGAAACTCAAACCGGGATAGGAGCTGCTGTAAAGGCAGCCACTCTCGCGGCGCCATCTTAGAAACATATCGGCAGCATTGCTAGTTGCAAAGCATTACAGAGGATTCCATCCATGCCTTCATATACTTTGAATGTTTTCATACGTGATTCCATCCATCCTTTTTTTTGCAAATCCATGATTATAAGCCCAACGGGTGAGAAAACAGAGGTCTTCGAAGTGCTTGTAACAAAGAACGTTGGTCAACACTGGCGTTGAAATTCATTCGCTTTGAAAGCCAGCACAGAAAAGAGGCATGAGTTTATTGCCTCTCGATAGGTGACGAATCGATGTTGAACATAGGCCTCGTGTGTCTGTATGCGCTACCTGTGCTCGCCGGGAGTTAAACGACTCCTTCTCTCTCGAGATGCTATTTTCTACGACCTCCTCTCGGACCACGCCGAGCCTCTGCTGAACCTGCTCCAGCTGAAGTCGAACTTCCTCTGACAACAACGTTGACTCTTGAGCCTGGGGGGAACAACAATTTCATCTACATCTACATTCTCAGAAGTGTACTCATTTATGTTGAACACTGCAGCTTTGGTTTTAAGATACCATTTTCTTCAGTAAAATATGCCACTAAACACAAAGATTCATTATGCCAAACTAGTTTTTGTAAATCACCGTACGACGTTGATTGGAACCAATTGTGTTTGTAAATGTGCGACGCCCCTTACTCTCTACAAAAGTGGCCCACAGCCTCCACCGGAAACGAGGTGCTACCTTGCGTTTGTTCATGTCCAGTGCTTGCGTCCTCAGCGTCAACTCCCTCTCAGCAGTGCTGATGGTGCCCTGCAGGAGGCGCTCTTTCTCCTCAAGCTTCCTCACCACCTGCAGCTGGGCATCCACCTAACAATTGTACCAAAACAAACAAATAAACAAATAAATAAAATAAAATCGCATTAAACACACAACACTGGCCAAACAAAACATCTTGTGCGTCAGCATACATTTGGGCTTGTTTCTTTAAAGGTCAAAGTGGAAACTCACCTGTGTTTTTAAAGTGAGCAGCTGATCCGACAGCTCCTCCTTCTCCTCTTTCAGTAACTTGTGGATCTGGTTGGACTTGATCCGTTCACTCATCAGCTTGAAGTTGGCATCGTCCTTTTCCCGGAGCTGCTGCATCAAGCGAATGTTCTGTTCCTGCATGTCCTCAAAGGCCTGTCCCGTCACGTCCATCTCACTCAGCAATGCGTCTTCCTCCTGGACAAGGTAGTGAGGGTTTTAGCAACGGTGGAAGGCGCCGGTGTCAATTTCAAGGTGCAGGGGCCAGACCAGGCCCGCTACCTCATTTTACGTGACACACTGAACTAAAGTGTGCCTACCTCATGTTTCTTGAGAAAGTGGTTTCTTCTTTTCATTTTGTCAGAAAATCATGATCAAAATTAGCAAGTTTACTTTCAAACAACTATTTTTGCCCCCCCACAAAATCGCTTCTTAACTTTAATGGAACAATAGCTGTATGCTTATATTTGCAGGCCACAATTTTCCATAACTTCTGACTTCAAATTAAGTTGGTCGTAAACAATACACATTCTTCCCCTCCCCTACTCAGGGGTCCTCACAGCAATCCATCCTCTTCCATCTCTCCCTGTCCTCTGCGACTCCACTTACAGCATCCTTCCACCGCTATAGCCATTGTCCCTCCTCTGCACATGCAAACCATCTTAGTAGGGCCTCTCGAACTTTGTCCTCAAACAACAATTAACAATACACATAACACTAATCACATGTCGGGGGAATCGTGTAAAAGTCAGATACCCCTGGAAAACACATACCATGGGTTGTGTGCATCCATGTGACAATGAGCTGTTCACACACCTGTTTTGCTATAGACAATTTTTTGTTCAGGATGTCGATCTGTTCCTCCACAGAGCGAATCTTTCTTAGGGCCTCCTCGTCAGCCATTTTTTTGCCCTCTCTCCTCTCCCGCTCCTCCAGCTCCCTGAGTCTCTGACGCAGCTCCTCCGACTGGAATTGCCAACAAAAGTAGCACATAATACCTCCACACGATTGCCTGAACCAGGCAGGAGCTGTGCACGTCATCGTAACTGTGTGACTGTGTTGCGCAGGGATAATCACCTCTGACTTGGCCTTCTTCTCCGCTGCCATCAGCTGGACTTTGTCCCTCTGCTCTTTCGGCGCTGATCGATACATGTCTAAGAGCAGCTTCATTTCCCTCTGGGACTCCTGAGCTTTCCTGTATAGTCGAAGTACACGTGACATTACCACACCTATCATGAAATATATATGTAAAACACTTCTCGTTATTGCCAAACCACAGACGTGACTCACTTGAGCTCTACTCTGACAATTTTCAGCTGCTCCATCTCTTTCCGCTTTGGCCCTCCAGCAGCAGAAAGACGTTCCCCAGATGACTCGTCAAGTTGGTTGCCAATTGACAGTTTCTCCTTCTCTTCCTTTATTCCACTACTCTTCGTGCCACTCCGAGTTGGCCTCTCTCTCTCCTTTTCCCTCTCACGGTCTTTCTCCTCTTTCTTAATGATTTCTTTGTCTTTCTTGTCCTCCTTCTCTTTCTTCTCCTCTTTTTCCTCCTCCTTGGTTGTTATCTCAGGTTCAACTCCTGGCTCGGTTTTCACAGAGATGCCTTGAGACACAGATGATCAAACAATTGTGAATGCAAAGAAGTCGTACGGTTTGCAAATTGACCAAGATGCTTGGGAAAACCAAGTCACCTGAGCCACTTTCATGGGTTATGTCACGTGAGACAGGGTGCCTTACAAGAGTTCAGTGAGTGTGTGTTTTGCTTCACGTGGCATTTTTCCATCTTTTTCAAACAAGATGTAAGGTCGCTTGTTTCTAAAGGTTGATGGCCAAATGACACAATTAGAGATAGATTTCTGTACGTTCTTAAAGAAGTAAGTTTCACTTGTGACTTTCTTCACGCTTCAGACATATGACTGATTATTAACCTGTTGTGGTTTTGCGTGAATAATTCCTGCTGCCAAGTCCAAAAAGCCGTCTTCCTGGGATCAGAGAAACAATGCTAGATAAACAGTGTCAGGCATGTGACTTTAAAAAAGTAATTAGTTATATTGACAAATTATCCATCCATCCATCAATCCATTTTCTGATCCGCTTTATCCTCACAAGGGTCGCGGGGTGTGCTGGAGCCTATCCCAGCTGTCTTCGGGCAGTAGGCTGGAGACGCCCTGAACCGGTTGCCAGCCAATCAGAGTTACAAATTACTTCTTCCCAAAAGTAATTGGGCTACTAACTCAGTTGTTGCCTTGTAAAAGTAATTGGTTACTTAGCAAAGTAATTATGATTATTTTTTTTCTATTATGTTCCATCTCCAGTGCACCTTCCCGCGACCCTGTACAGGACAAGCGGTGTTGAAAATGATGGAAGCAGACTTCGTTACTCAAAACATAATGGCGTTAACAATGCCATTATGCTTAAAGCCGTTATTCCCAACACTAGATAAAGCATTGTCCAGCCTTAGTGAAGATAGTGAGGCTTGACTTCCACAGGTACAAATGAGACATTCAGAGAGGTATTCGATGTACTGTATAACCACCACGGAAGCTGCTTTTGCTGGATGGCTGTTGTTCCTACATGCAAAAACATTGAATCTTCTTGAATCTTATCCAGGTCTTCAAATATCAGAATCAGAATCGCCTTTATTGTCATTATTAAGTCATTTTAACTCTATCAAAAGTGTTCTATTGTTGCACTGTCTTTCTTGCACTTGTAGAATGTTAGGAGGAATGTTAATGTGTTAATGATTTGTATGCACATGTTTTTACATGTATATGACCCAGTTCATGGTAAAAAGTAACTTAAAAAATGCATTTCAAATTTAAAAAGGGTTTTGGATAGTGAGAGGTTGACCTTATGACTTTATATAGAAAAAAATGTTTCAAATCTGAGTAAGTTAAAGGTCCGGAAGGGGTTGTGCTTGACCTGAGAGTTTCTACTGTGCACAACAATGGTCCAACACTGATAGTTACCAGTGCTGTTTGGTGTAAAAGAGTCGTTCTCAGGAGGTTCTAACTTGACCGCTGGCTCTCCTGAGACAGCTGCTGTCGTAGGGGATGTCGTCTCCTCCTTCATGTCCATTTCCGTGCTTGACTGGGTTTGCAGAATGGTACTTCCCTTTGAAATGCGAATCTAGGAGGACAACATAAAATACATTATTTCACCATCATGTCCATCACCATTCGACTTCAAAAGTCATCCAATTTGAAATAAATAGTTCCTTTTTGCATCAAACCTGGTTAAGTTCAGCTTGTGTCTCTCTCAATCTCAGCTTGTATTTCACAACTTCTCCCTTCATCTGCTGGTTATGAGTTTGTAGGGTGCTGATCAGATGCCGCATCTCTCTGTTTATTGGGCCTGAGGGAAGTCCCGAGAAACAAACAAAGTGCATTTCACATCTGTGCCAGCCTTTACAAACACTGATGAGCAAAGGCAGTTTGGGGTTCCAAGTCATGTTCCATACACTTTGACTCCTCACCTGCCTGCTCGTTGGCGGCAAGAGTCTGTTCGAATTCAATACGCAGCATCTCGTACTCCTTCCTAACTTGAGCAAGGGTATCTTCCAGCTGAAACACTTCAGTGCGAACCTTCCTCTGCAGAGTCACCTCATCGTTCTGTACATAATAATGGCGTTAGCGAGGCAGCTCTCATTATGTGCGTACAGACAGACACGCAGACAGTCAGCCAGCCAGAGCGAGCTTACCTCCATGTGCTCCAGCTGCCGAAGGCGTGCCGTCCTAGTTGTGTTGAGACGGGCCCGTGTCTCGTCCAACTGAGCCTTGAGGATCAGAGACTCATTATACAGCACAGAAAACTGTGACTGCAGACAGCGATACTCAGAGGTATCCTTCACCATGCCCTCCGCTCGACTCAGCAGCTCAGCCTGGGTGGCAAGAGTACACATTCAGAAGGCAAGAGTTAAAAACCGGTGTGAAATGTAATGCAGTGAAGCTTTCTATTAGGAAAGATGTCCTCAAAATAATGGAATGGCACATGAGACACACCTTCATGTTGTTGTTCTCCTGAAACACATTCTGAAGGTCCTGCTGGAGCTTCTGAAGCTCAATGAGACGATTGTCTGCCAGCTCTTGGTTTTCTTCCAGTTCACTGTTCATTTCCTCAAACTGCAGGAGAAGAACGTCACCAAACACAAAAAGTGAAAAATTACTGTGCTGAAATAAGTGTTCTTAACTTGTGATATTCCTACCTTTCTTTTGTTGATAGTGATGGTTCCACATACGCTACTGGCCTCCCCACATACTTTGTAACCTTTGCTGTTCACCTACAGTGCATGAGAGTCAGTTAGATTTTTAAATAACAAACAGACATGCTGGCATGCAGCGAAAAAAATGTCCCTTACCCTCTCCAGTATCTCACTCATGTGTGCATTGAGGCGATTTTCTCGTCGACGGATCTTCTCCATATCCCACTGAAGCTCTTCACTCAGAACTTGCAGCTCGCTGACACGCTGGTCTGCCTTGTTTGCTGCACGGCCAAGAGCTCGGGACTAGATGGGAGAGGAGAGAAGAGATGTATGACGGCTGCCAAATTATTACTACTACACAGGACAAATAGCCACATTATACCAAGAAGCATTAACGCCTCACCGCTAAGGAAGGGCAGACAACAAATTTGTACTTGGTAAATGTTCACGAGTGATTGTCCAGCAGTATTTTATACCTTTGTGAATTGTCACGAATGTGGCCTTAATTTATTTTTATTTTTTTAAATCATCTAAACAGGGAAAAAAAGACAAAGGACTTCTTTATATGATGACTTGAAGCAAAGTCGCTATGACCACAAAAAGGTAGTTTCTCTCATTAAAAAAAGATATATTTTATATTATGCCTACCTCACTGGTCATGTGACTGTGTTTCTGCTTGAGGTCCTCAGAGAGTTGTTGAAGACGCTCATTTTCACTGGTCAGCAGCGTGTTTAATTTGGAAGCGACATGGCACATGCTCCCAGCTGAGAAATAACAGCCGCCAACAGTGATTAAGTCTAAGAGTTATTGTAAGGCGCTTAGAGCAAGTCACTGAGAACGTGTGGTCCTTCATCTATTCAGGTTCACTGGTCAACAGAAAATGTCCATCAAATATGGCTTCATGTGTCCTTAAACATTTTTTTGACACTGATTAAAAAACAAAAATGAATCAAATCCTTAATATATATATTGCTATATTATATATTCTATTATTGTATTATTATTATGAAAAGTAAACCTGATATGCAAAAGAAAAACACAAGGGGAGATTCGGACCCAGTGCAAAAAATAAATCATCTACAAAGGTTTACTTTGACCTCTGAATACAAGGTTTAGTAAAAATGTGTTGACCAGTGGAATTATCTCATGTTTCTGTCGTTAACTCACCAACTCCAGAATCCATGTCTGCCTTCAGTTGGTCTACTGTGCTCTTTAGACAATTGTAGATCTCCACAACATGAGTGACCTGCATTTGACTGGACTGCACCCTCTCCTGGAGCTCGGCTTCCATCTCCTCACTGGTGCTGCTGGCCAGGGTAGCCAGGAAAGAGTTGGATGTTTCACCCTGGTGGCCTGTGTGACAACAATGGAACGTATCATTATTATTTTTAGTTTAATGCAATTCAGTCTCGTTCAAACTTAAGGTTCATGAAAATGACAGTTAAAATTGAGAAAAGAAAAAAGTTATACTGTATAGCAGGAGTGGCCAACCAGTCAGGGAGTAAGCCATTTTCTTTTACTGTCTTACCGCAAAGAGCTACATCATGCACATGGGCACACATAAACATCACCGCATCCCTTCCACACACACACACACACGCACGCACGCACGCACGCACGCACGCAAATCAAAACACACAGTCACACAAAGTCCCCCCCCCCCAACTTCCTCCTCCCAACCCTCGCGGTCGACTTGGGACCAGTCCACTGGCTCCCGGTCGATTGCAATTGATGTATTGGGCACCCCCGCCTTAAAATCAGAGATAATTCGCTGACTAGCTTAGCGCCGTTGTTTGCGCATGCGCGGTGATTCAGTTGTCATCTGACTGGCTGCCCTGTATGTCAATCAAGTAACGGGATTGATGATAGGCTGACATTGTAAGTTCTGCTGTACATAGCGCAGTTGTTTGAATGTCAGCGCCACCGTGGAGGCGTTTTCGACGCTTGTCATGTGAATGCCCGGGAGCCACACTGAACCAGGCCAAGAGCCGCATGCGGCTTGCGAGCCACAGGTTGGCCACCCCTGCTGTATCGTGTACAACATTGTATCATGTATTATTTTGCATGGGTGTCTGCTTTTGCAAAAGAAATAATTTTTATTTCCAAAAGTCCGCATCTTAACTTCCACCGGACATTTAATTGAAATTGTTTGCAGAAAATTTTAGGTTGAACACACAATGTTGTACAAAATTCGTTCGACATTTCTTTTCCCATTACCTCTGTCCTTGGCCCTCTCCTGATTGGAGTCTCCATCGGGTTCAGGGGTTTCCGGCTTCAGGTTCCTACCCTCTCCCGTTGGAGACTTCTCTGGTTCACTTGGCGATTGGTCATACAATCTGACGAACATCTTAATATTTTCATCAAGCTGAAAGCAAGGGAGGATGACACCTTGAGATTTTGTGGACATCTTTTAAGGTGCTTAAGTGAGTCTTGTTTGTTTCGTCTTTTGATATCACAAAGTGTTCACCTGGTTCCAGTATCTATTGAGGATAAGCAGGCTTGCGTCATCCGTGGCCTGGCGGGTCTCTAATCTCTCGATTCGCTCTCGCAATTCATCTTCAATCCCCTGCAAAGAAGCAAGCCCAAAAATAAACTCTTCAGTTAAACAACAACAAAAAATAGTCACCATTGGTTGCTCACTACTTTTCAAGACGCATTGTAGTATACATTTAGGGCATAGATGATAACCTATACTCTAATACACATCCCAAATGCACTGCAAAATGGTGAACTCGCTATATACAAGATTACAGAGTGGATCGGGAGTGGTTCCGAACTCAGCCACAAGTTCTGGTTTGTGCAAAAAGCTCATAAAACGCACCTGTCTTTGATCTAAAGATTCACCCAGTTTCCGGTTCTTCGCCTGGAGAGCTTTTATATCTTGTTCTTCCTGAAAGACACATGAAAGTACATTACTAATGAACACCCACACAAATAAACTGTCCTTTAAGTTATTCATAATGAAGAGAGAGAAAGAGAGAATAATACACAAACTGACCGAGTTAGAAACCCCTCCCAGTTTGATGACCGTCTCCACTGCTGTGCTTCCACCTGCAGCTGCCGCACTTATACCGGGACCTCCGTCCTCTCCATCCCGCTCTCTCCGCTTCTCTAGGTGCACACCAGAGGTTGAGGTAGGGCCACTGGGGTCTGCAGGACGCTTCTGCCCCGACATCCCGAGACACCTGTAAAAACAAAAGACACGTAGTGGTCTAATGGTGAGACATTTTCTTCTGCCCTGTGTGTATGCTTCATCGGTTACTAATAAGCAACAAACAAGTGTTCGAAGGTGGCTATCAGGGCCGTCATATAAAGTCGAACAAATTTGAACGACACACAATAGATAGACAAACATACAAAGTTCTCTCTTGTATCTCAAACCCACATTAGCATCAGGCGACTGTGGCACCAATGTTAGCCACAAGCTAACAGGATCGTTAACGTGCCGACTGAAGTGTAACGGTCTTTTCCAAACACTACGTTTACCGCTTCATGTTATTGTGTGCAATTCGACCCAAAGTTGTCGTAAAAAGTCTTACCTCTTTTTAATGTGGGGAATCTGAAATGAAATGTGAAATCTAACTCGCAAATGTTGATACTGCGGCTTCTTTACTCTCGGAAGCGGAAGCTGCAGCGAATTATCAATAGTCAATTGCAAGTGCGCCATCCAGTGCCACGGAGCGATTTAACATTTCTTCGCACGTTCATAATGGGGACTAAAGTTGGAACAGTGTTTTAACGACAAAAAGCTCACGGCTCACTATCATTCAAAAATGTCGCACAAACTATGCACACTGTACTAATAATGATCTGTGTGGTGGCCATGGCAGAGTATTTATTTGTTCTGGCTGTCGTGGATAGATGAATTGACTGACACATCGTGAGCAGCAAATATATAATAATTTGGCAATCAGCATAGTGTTTGGGAATCACTGCCAAACACTGCTACTGCACTACTGTTGTATCCATTTTATGATGTCAGAATATTCTCTCATCCTAATCACTATAAAGGGATGTCGGTAGACTACGGTTCTATTCAGTGCTGTAGTGAGGATTTTTTTAAGTGGGTGTACGCGATTCTGGGATGTTCTATATATACATACAGAACATCAATCATAGGCTACAACACCAGTTGAACGAACGTTAAATTTAATGTTTTACTACTCCAAAATAATCACAGGCCAACGTTATTAAGCATAACTCGCATTAGAACAATGATCAACAAACATTTCAATAAAAATTGAATGTGGCGTCGGGAGAAGTGGGTGGACGGCGTACCCCCGCGTACCACGCCCACTACACCCCTGGTTCTATTATTTGGGGATATTCTGACTTTTTTTTACAGGGGGATAAGGACTGAACCCTGGCACAAAGTGCGAACTTCCATTATTATTAGAATTGCAAAACAACTAACAAAAGTTAAACAAGACTTAAAGAGTCAACATGCCATCATATTAAAGACACAATAGCTTTCTTTGTCATTTCTCTCTGTCTGTTGAGTCCAATAATGAACTGCCCTTTTGCACCTCTTTTTTCCCCAGTCCTTATATAAAAGCGACTCATGGACCATTGACTGAACATTGATCAGCAATACTGAAGGGTGTAGTGCACCCAGGGCAGAGTCCATGTTGTGTAAAAACTGGCTCTTGAGTGTCAACAGCTTGTGCAGGACGTGTTTGGTGGGCAGTGACGAATGGCAGATGCAACGCTTTCACCTCAAAACAACTTCCACAATTAGAATAGAAACTCAATTTCACTTCAAAACTGAACTAGAACTAGAATGGACAAAAATATTGGGACATATGGACTGGAAATTGGAAAAAAAGTTATATTTTTCATGACTTATACTGATCTGTAAAGACTAACGGAGTGTGTCTGTGGGAATTTCTGTCCATTCATTTAGAGTAATATTTGTGAAGTTGGATCTTTGTTGTTGATGATTACCGGTAGATATGAAGTTCTTCCACACGAAACTAATCTAAGAATTCTTTTGCATTCATGCGTTGGGGTACAATTTTGCTGCAAAGAAAAGGGCCTTCCCTGCCTCGCCCACAAACTGTCCATACAACTGTCCATCACATCTAAACTGTGAGGCCAACAAACTGCTGAGGGATTAATTAATTTAGTGTAACAGATACGAGAATTAGGTGGTGGTATGTAGGTCAGTACTTTTGACAGTGTTTAGGTTAGCAGAGAAGACCTTGCTGGACTCGGTGGCTCACCTCTGGTCCATAAAACGTATTAAGTTAGTGCGCATTGATGTTTAAATGAGCTATGCTAAATAGTAAATACATAATCACACAGCCGTAAGTGCTGCTTGTGCTCAAATGCATAATGTCCACATGTTCATGTTAACTTTTTCTGCTGCCCTAGCTCATTGTAGAAGTTGTTCAGTTTCATAACAATAACAATAAATAGTTGTGTAGTCTGTGTGGCTAAAGACTTAAGAGGGACTAAAGAGCGAAATAGCATGGTGAATTTTATAAGTACAGCAGACCAAAATAGCCACAACTAAACTACAATGGATCCACAACGCAATTTCCTGCATCTCCACAAGCAGAGAATCCTGTATTGCGACATTGCATTAGACTAAGTGCCATATACTAGCGTCAACTTGTTGCTCTGATGACACATTATGTTCCCGTTTGATTGTTTTAACGCTTGCCTGGACTGTCCCCGAAGTCCACAAAGAAGCACTATTGATGTCTCCTAACACCGCCCATGTCTGTCCGCTTTGGGCCAATTGCGTTTCCGGGGTGACGCACGCCCCGCCACATCACAACGAGAGCGCCTCCTCCTCTCGCTTAAATTCACCTTTGGGCGCTCCACTCGGCCTCCACTTTGAGTGATTCCACGTCACATCGGTCCTCCTGTCAAGTAAGTGTTCCATTTTTACTCTTCTATATTTGTGGATCGAGTGGGGTTGGACAGAGGCGAGCGTCTTTTTTCATGAAATTCAGCCGACTATTTTTCTGTGGCTTAGTTTCCAAAACTTGCTCGACGAGTTCTGTGTGCTTGTGCAAGCTATAGCTTGTGGAGGTTTCTTTGACCGAATACTGTATCGTGAGCATGAGTGTAACATGCAAATCACGTGAATAGTGCAAGAAAACTGCAAGCTGTTGTCTGTACAGCCTCTGAGATGTACTTAAGTACAATCGTAAAAGTTTTTTTTTTTTTTACTCTCAGTCATATACAATAGCCATTTCGATAAGGAAATACAAATGTTTTTATTTCATTGCCAGAAACTGCTGTTTTGTTTTTTTGGGCTGACGCAAAGACACCAAGCATCGACCACAAACCATTTTTTGAGCCGATAACATAAGACTTGTTGGTGGCTTAAATATGGCCTTCGATGGGAAATAAGTTCCGTCTTCTCTGAATCATTTGTGTTGTCGTTGTAACCGCTCCCCTGGTTCACGTCCAGCATGTCACTACTGGCCCTGTTTTTCCACCTTATAAGATTCCAAGATCTGAATCAAGCAAGATCTTAACTGAGGTTCACCTTTTTCTATTTGTCTTTTTTTTGTGTCGGTCGTGACAAAATATTTTTTATGAAGGAATTGAAAGTATAAATCTATCTTTTTTCAAATGTAGGGAGGAAGAGGTATAAATCAGTCATCAGAAAATGACATATTCAAGCAAAGTACCTAAAAAAAAATCTACTTTTGAACAGGATTGAGGTATTTCTACTTGGTTACTTCCCATCAAGGGCTGCACATTAGGGAGGAAAAAAGTATTGACGTTGAATCAAGCCAAACATTTACAGAGGTGATGTAAGAGAGGCCCTCAATTAGACAGAGAAAAAAAACAAACATCTTCCTCATACTTTCTGAATAGCCTGGCTTGCTCACTTCTTAAATAACCAGTTTGTCCCCTCTCCAGGATGGCTCAGCAATTTCCATCCCTCTCTCCGGAGCAGAAGAAGGAGCTCTCGGAAATCGCCCAGAGGATTGTGGCCCCGGGAAAAGGAATCCTGGCCGCAGATGAGTCAACCGGTTAGTTCAAATGAGAGCAAGAGTCATTAAAAAAAAAAAAAAGCTGTGAGTCAATCATTGATATTCTTCTTACCTTCAAGGCACCATGGGAAAGCGTCTCCAGAAGATCAATGTGGAGAACAACGAGGAAAACCGTCGCTGCTTCCGCGACCTCCTCTTCACATCCGCTGACCCCGTGCCTAACGCCATAGGAGGGGTCATCCTGTTCCACGAGACGCTCTACCAGAAGTCAGATAACGGAAAGCCCTTCCCCCAAGTCATCAAAGAAAGGGGCATTGTTGTGGGCATCAAGGTGAGTGGACAAAGCTCTCACAAATCTTTTTCGTTTAGCAGTGCCGATGGCTTGTGACGGGTGGTGGCTTGACTTTCACAGCTACATGTATGCAATTTTTAAGCTCACCCTCCATCAGCTTCCCTTATTTTGAAAGTTAATGGCAGCTTCCTCCTTCAGGTGGACAAAGGCACAGCTGGTCTGAATGGAACCGATGGAGAGACAACCACACAAGGTAAAAATGATCCCAGTTGCGTCTTCATCACAAAATATCTTCAGATGACTATGCTCATTTTTCTGTTTCTCCGTAGGTCTTGATGGCCTCTCAGAGCGCTGTGCCCAGTACAAGAAGGACGGCTGTGACTTTGCCAAGTGGAGATGTGTGCTCAAGATCTCAGACAGCTGCCCCACACCTCTTGCCATTGCCGAGAATGCCAACGTGTTGGCTAGATATGCCAGCATCTGTCAACAGGTTGGCATTGCCCACTCTCGTCGTTGTGCATGTGGTGTTTGTCTTCCTTGGAAGATGTAATTCAAACACATTATCTCTGATTAGAATGGACTGGTGCCTATCGTGGAGCCTGAGATTCTTCCCGATGGAACCCATGACCTGCAGAGATGCCAGTATGTCACAGAAAAGGTGGGAAAGCCATCTGTTGTCTACTTTTAAATGAGCAAATGTTTCTCCCCAAAATAGGATATTGAAAAGTATGTGTCTCCTTAGGTTCTGGCTGCTGTGTACAAGGCTCTGTCTGATCATCACGTCTACCTGGAGGGAACACTGCTGAAGCCCAACATGGTCACTGCTGGACACTCCTGCACCAAGAGGTTCACACCTCAGGAGGTCGCCATGGCTACCGTGACTGCTCTGAGGCGCACCGTGCCAGCCGCTGTGCCAGGTGAGCATTTTGTGTGAAGACACACACGAGGACAATGTTTCCCAAAACATCTCACAACACACCACCAACAAATGGAGCAAAAACTGGGTACACAAGTTATTCATGTACTGTCCCTTCTGCCATAAGAGAGAGTATTTTTTGTTCTACCTGTCACAGTATCTTGCTAGTATAGAGAGTTGAATATACATTTGTAGTTAATTTTTGACCGTTTCCAACAGTAGATAAGGAGGGACTCACTGCATCATTTGTCATTTTCACTTCCTGTGACTTTGCAGGCATCTGCTTCCTGTCTGGGGGCCAGAGTGAGGAAGAGGCCTCGCTCAACTTGAACGCCATCAACCAAGTGCCGCTCAATCGCCCCTGGAGGCTCACCTTCTCATATGGCCGTGCGCTGCAGGCGTCCACTCTTGCAGCCTGGCAGGGCAAAGCTGCCAACAAAGCCGCTGCACAAGAAGTTTTCTGCAAAAGGGCCATGGTAAGCTTCAGCGACAACGAGGGGCTCGCCAAGGGGGGAATAAACACACGCGGGAGAATTAGTCCACTCTTATCTTGTATCACCCAACTTTATTATGACTGGTAAATGATTTGTCAGAAGCTGTTTGGTCCGTAATGTTGCACAGGTAACATGGCTGATGATTAACTCTCTCCTCAGATCAACGGCCTGGCTGCTAAAGGAGAGTACAAGGCCACAGGCTCGGCCGACCAGGCCTCCATGCAGTCTCTGTACACCACCAACTACGTCTATTAAATGCTCTGACCTCAAGTGATGACGCACTTGGACCAAATATGGACGACCTGAAAACACCTCTGAAGGATGGACGTCATCGAGGGGAGAGATTGTCTTATTACATTGACTGCTGTTTGCCTTCTTAAAGAAATAAATTAAGTGACCAAATGAGTTTTTTTTTTTTTTTAATTGACATGTTTTTTTTTACCACTCATGATTTTTTGAAAAAAAAAGTATGTTCTAAAAGACCTTGAACACGTTTGAATATGCTTCCAGCTAACTTAAATAATGGAAGCCACTGGTATAATTTCCGACCATCAAAAGTTATTGAATTAGGCCTAATTAAGAAATTCTGCCTTGACAAAAATATGGTTCAGATCTTTAATAATATTAAATATTGCAGTTTTAGAATTTCATTTGCATTATCGATGCAAAACAAATGATTTTTATGGTACTTGTAATTTTGAGACAGTAATTCATGCCTTTGTCACATCCCGGCTCGATTATTGCAATGCTCTTTACTTTGGAGTCAGCCAGTCCTCCATTAAGCGTCTCCAGCTGGTCCAGAATGCCGCTGCTCGCCTCTTGACTGGTACTCGTAACAGGGAGGGAGCACATAACTCCTACTCTGGCATCCCTTCACTGGCTCCCCATACATTTTAGAGTTATTTTCAAGATCCTTTTATTTGTTTTCAAATCTCTAAATGACCTCGTGCCACCTTACCTCTCTGAGCTCATCCACCCCTACACACCTGCCCGGCGCCTCAGGTCTGCGGACCAGACATTATTAGAAGTACCAAGAACTAAACGGAGGCTCAGAGGGGATCGAGCCTTTTCTGT